AAGTATCATGGTGAAGTTTATTGTTCTCTTTTTTTAAAAAATCTAGAACTAAAGAAAAGTAAAAGGGGAAATATTTAATTCAGAACTAAAGTTTAACATGAATACATGAATTTGAAGACAAAACATATTAAATAACATATGAAATAATTTGGGGGTATTTCTGGTGTAAAACAAACTCCCCCTGATTCTTCTTTCCAAATGGAGTGCATATTCCCTGGCTAGATGGAGCCTTGAATGAGCTGACACGTCTAGAAAGGACTTGTCCCCTAAACAGTGGGATTATTGGTTCTAATCCCCATTTCAGCAAAGCCAGTCCCAGAATAAGATGGAGGAATGTTCCAGAGTGGGACGTATTCTAGCATCCAACAGGGAGTGGCACAAAGTCCGTATTCACAACTTTTAATTTCCAGGATAAGGAATTGCAAATGTCTTTGATAGCATAAATATTCATCCTTCCCGAGAAAAATCAAATAATACTAAAAATTTTTAAATTAATGTCTATTCAAAAGGAATTTTGAGGTCCAAAACTCCTATCGAGTGAGCGTAATTTATTTTAGGTTCTGGAGGCATGGACTAAGTTGCATTCAAAAATGTTTCTTTTTCAAGGTAATCATTTTCAGAGAATTATGCTGACCTATATATCTGGCCTATTCTCTCCAAAGAATGTCTAAATTTTAGAATGAGCATTGCTTCCCAAAGTTATATTAAAAGTTTAATTAATAAAAAAGAAACTCCTAACACATAGGTTCAACATATAGTTTGTGTAAAGCTGCACATCTTCTCATGCACACGTTCCTGGGCGATTGTAACCTGCAAGACCTACTTATCTTTCTCACACATCAAAACCAGAGATGTGTGCATCTTTGTAATTTGGGACTCACCGTTTAGTTCTGTGAAATTCTACAGAACTTGCTCGTGTTAGTCTTACTGTGAAACTATCATTCTATTTATGCCAGGAGGATTTCCTGGTACTCCAACTTTGCCTGTGTTGAGTCACTGGGCCCTGAACTCAACAGTTTGATGTAGAACTATGGATGGCTACCTGTTTGTTGCATTAAGAAATTTTCTTCATTAATTCTTTTTCTATAACTTTATCTCTTAATTATGAAAATTTTTTCAAGTATACCCAAATGATGAAAGACTAGTTCAGGATGTATTATTAGGTACACAATCAGGTTATAGAAATTATTCATATTTTAGAAAATCGGCTTATCTATTATCTTTCTCTCCAGAGCCCATTTGAAAGTAGGTTCATCATGACACTTCATCTTACCTAATTCTGATGATATTTCCTAAAATAAGAATATGGTTTGGAAGTTATTTAAAGTCCCTTTAGTCCAGTCTCCTCTTGTTAGCTACAAGAGATAGAAAAATAATTAAGATACAGTTTCTGTTCTTGATGAGTTCAGAGTTAAATTGGGAAACAAACATGTTAATTACTATCATTTCATTCACAAAAACTTTCCGAACTTCCTTCTTTTGAAATTAAATAATGTGCTGCCTTCCTTCCTGTTCCCGTGGTACTCTGTACATGCTCAACCTTGTGTTTATCCTCCAGCACTGTGATTATTCATTCTTCGTCACATTGTTCCTTGAGTTCTTTGAGGTTTTTCATCTTTATGTCTTTAATACCTAACATTGATCCTTAAAATGTAACAGATGCTCAATAAATGACTGATAAATGAATGAAGTTTTAGATGTTGGCTTTTATTAGGGAACTATGAGCCTGATGGTGTAGAAAAATTGAGTAGGATTTTTAAAGGATGAATAGGTGGAGCTGGGGAAAGGCTATCACAAGGAGAGAAACTGTACCCAAGAAAGCCTCTAGGTGCCAAAGTCACCTATTATATGGGCAAAATGTAAAGGGCAAATTATCACAGGGAGAATGTAGGTTGGATTAGACATTGAAGGGTCTTGACTATGAAGCTAAGAGCATCTGGATTCTATCCCATAGGTGACAATGGGGAAACAGAAGCTTTTTAAAAAATAATATGGTCACTTTTATTCTTTTAACATGATTATTCTAGTATCAGACTGGGATGGAGGAAACTGATGTTAAAGAGGAGACACAAAGAAGAAAACAATTGAGAAAGACACAGGGACATAACAATGTCACAATGCTGGGCAGCCACAATCCAATCTACAAATGTAGAGCAAGGCAAGACTACTGAGCTAATGATTATGGGATGTGGATTAAGTGCAGTCCAGGAGAGGGTGAGATGAGGGAAACCTGTTACCCAAAACAAAACCATGCAGGTGAGGAAGAAATTTAGCTGAGTCAGGAAAGATCCAAGGGTTATTAAATAGGCTCAAAGGAAAAGAAGGCATTCCAAGTATGTGCTAAAACAGGAGAAGGCAATGACAAATTGCTGTATGTGTTGGCTGTGGTCTAGGCACTGCAGAAAAAGGGCAGCAGAGACAATTAGGGACTAGTTTGTATATGGCTCTTGAGTCAATGATATATAAAGGATTGTTTCCATCTATAACTCCATTCTGGTTATTGTAAGTGGTTTAATTTTTAATTGATTTTTTAAAAACAAATGAGAGCTGAATGCATAACAGTTCATATTATACATTTAGAGCACAATTTTTCATATCTCTGGTGATGGCTGTCAGCAGTTGGTTACTTTAAAGCCACGTAACTTATACAGGACTGTTTCCTGGCTAAGCATTTTCCACTGGTCAGAGGTGGGTAGGTCTCATGTTTTGGAAACAAAACGAAACTATCCTACGATTTCTCATTACCACTTCCCACCCACTGACAGATTGATCAGAAGAGTCAGAGAATAAAGCATGCTAAGACAGGACACTGAAGCTATCTGACAGTGCAGAGTAGACTCTCACACATCTCTGTTCAATGAGGTATGAAGCTTTGCACCATTTATAACCAATCCCCACCCAGAGGCAGAGACAGAGGTGTGCTGGAGAGGAATTTGCCCTCAAGCTTGCTTCCCACAGATCCTCAGCAACCTCCCAGTGCTGGAGTGCTGGCAGCAACCAGGACCAGCCACCTCCTGTCTCTATCACTTGGTGCAGGAACTGAGGAGGGAGAAGGCTGGTATACAAGAATTCCTTGGCTGCCTAAGTCCAACCCATAGCTTTCAAATGAAACTAAAAGCACTACTGAAGATAACTTCTCTGTTTCCTAGCTGTTATGTCTGATTGGATCTTGGAAGCATGAGCAATCCAAGTAATTAGAATAGGTGAAGGCCTGCTGAACCATTCCATACCCTCACCCAGTTTCACTCATTCAGTGAATCACTAACTCATTCATTTAGTCCTTCATCACTTCAACAGATATTTAGGGAACACCAACTATGTGCTAGGCACTGTTCTCTGTTCTCATATAACTTGAATTCAAGCAAAGAGAGACTGCCTTGAACAGTAAACACACAGATAAGCAAATTATGGAATGTCTTAGGAGATACTAAGTACCATGGAGAAAAGAAATGCTGCAAAGAAGGAGGGATTGAGTGCAAGGAGCAGAAGAAAGCAGTAGGTAACAATCGCAATTCAAAGAATGGTGGTCAGAGAGGCATTGCAAAGGTGGCATTTGTGCAGCCTTGCAGGAGGTGGCTTCTTCTGAGCAAAGTTTTCCTTTCCTCTACTCAGGAGGCTTTGCAGTTAGTGCTATTTCAGCCTTCCCAGGTTTCCAGGGAATGCTTTGACTATGGAAATTCTTTCATCAAAAAGATGGAGAGCTGGTCCAAAAGAAGAGCTAGCCCAAAGCAAGCCCTTTACCTTGCCCTGCAAGAGTTGGATTGTTTTCAAATTTCTTCATCTCCTGTTATGAAGAATCTAAAAGAGAATTCTGAAAATATCATTCCCTCCAGTTTCTTACTCCTTTGTATGACTTCCCTTTTGCTATATTGGGCATCTGTGTCTGCATAGCCATAATTATCTGAAGAATTCAGGGAACTCTCTGGCTATTGTTTCAATTTCTTAGGGAACTGAGGAAAGAGTGTGTGTTGCTGGTAGTGTTTGAGCATGGACTCTGTCCAGGCCCATTCTGAGTACTCACATATATAGTAAAACTCAAAACAACCAAGAGGCAAGTACTGGCATTGTTCAGTTTTAAATATGAGAAAATTAAGTTTTAAAGAGATTACAAAATTTGTCAGTGGTCACAGAGCCAGCATATTTGGAGTCAGGACTTGAACCCAGGGTTTATTCTGGAGCCTACATGATGCTCAGGAGTCACTTCAGTGCTCTCAGATGGCCACTGATAAGCCAAGTTTTAACCCTGTTTTTTCATGTTACAAGTACCTGAGTTGAAGTATCTAAAACATGCTTTCCCATGATAGTTGATAAAGCGTCTATAATGGTACTTTTCCATTCAGCAACTTCCTTTCCCCACAGAAGAAAATTTAACAATAAATTCAAATCCAAACAAATTTAACCTTTAGTCTTTAATTAAACCCACTATCAACATGGAAAGGTGAAAGGTCAAATGCAGCAATTAGAGCAGCAGGCTCCTACCTCTGAGAGACCATGTGTCACCACCAAAAAAAAAAAAATGCTCCTCCCTTCTCCACTGGCATTGTTGTCCTCATTCAGACTGCTTTTGACAAGCATTTGGTAAGTGCCAGACACCAGAGTCGTGGGCACTGACACACAGGCTTCTCTGTGTTAACGGTTACAGTGATCCATATTACACTGGACTTTGCTTCCATATACCAGAAGTCTTCAGTCCTGATGACTGAAAGGCCTGGTTAAAAAAGTGTTTGCTATTTTATTTTCTTCAGTCTTCTAGATTAAAAAGAAAAGTTTTGAGAAGTAAAATCTTTAAAGAGAAAAAAAAAACACCACAAATTGGAACTTATTTTGGAGAAATGGAGAATACTTTTCCTTCCAGGAGCAAAACATCAAAACTTTCCAGAGTCCCATGAATTTAATTCATATTGATTATCTGCATATCTGTGTATTAACCCTCATTAATCTGTATATCCTCATGATCACATCAACTGTTTACTGTAAAATACATATAAGGTAAAACTTACCATGTGTCCAAAGTCAAGAGGCTCCTTCCTGTTTATCCAAGTGGGAATGATAATGGAAGATGCTTGGAGTAGGTTCTTACTGGCTGTATTCCAGGGACCATCTGGATTCACACCCACCTGAAGGCAATTAAATAATTATTTTCAATTGATTTTTACCATAACGATTTTCCCAATATGCCTGAAGAATTATATACACTGAAAGTCAACAGCTAGCTATGTTTTTTTAAAATATATTTTTTTAGTTGTAGTTGGACACAATATTATTTATTTTTCTGTGGTGCTGAGGATTGAACCCAGTGGCTCACACGTGCGAGGCAGGTGCTCTACCACTGAGCTACAGCCCCAGCCTAACAGCTAGCAATGTTGCTGTCACAAGCTCTCTGGTGATTTGGCAAGGGAAACCTGCAACTACTGATGCCATAAAATAATTGCAAACTCTGCTAGCTTTATATAATTTGCTAATGATTTACATCCTTAGCCCAGATAAAAGAGAAGAAGAAAGGAAAAACCATGCTACTTATCTTGAGAAAAACTAATTCACTGAGATATGATTTCATGTTTGAAAATTTAATTGAAATTTTAAAAAACCTGAATGAATATTTGTTAATGGGTATTTCCTTGGCAAGGAAATGTTCCTTACCATTCCATGAAAGGTTGTGTTTCAAACACCCAAAGGGGAGTGGACCTGAAAGGAATAGTTTAAATACATGCTGCAGTGGGGAAAGCTGGAGAGAAGAGTGAGAGAGAAACAGGGTCCCAGTGTAGAAACGGGTTCTGGTGGAGCTGTGTGAAAGGGGCGGAGTAAGAAGAAGCTGCCGTTTCTAGGGACATCACAGTCATAGCTGTGAAGTTAGAGCAAGTTTACATTGTTCTCTTTGCCCCAGTGGCTCACCATCATTGTGTTTCTCAGATTTGCCCAGGTGTACTCCAGGAGAGAAACAGAGATAGCCTCACCCTAGGAAGAAGGAGACTAACTCCGAACCAGTTTCCCAGCCTCGTTACTGCTTCCACCATTTTCTACTTCATTTAGAGAAGCCTGACCTGCATTGAATTCCAAACTGATTACCTGCTGCACCTCTTAGGCATTCCAAAATGTAAACTCTTCAAACATTTGTATTTTAATCTTAGGGAGCCAAAGCAATTTTCCTGGGGAACTCTTCCTATTTCAGTTCCACACCAATCCTCAACCTTCACTTCATTGATTGTTCATATTTCTAAGTAAGCGCCTTATTATTCTAATACCTAGAAAATGACCTGGATGCTCACACTATGGTTTCCCCTGGCAGGAATCATGGAATGAATCTCAGAGTTGCAAATATCAGATCAGCTCTGTTGCCAGACAAGTTAACACCTTGCCCAAACTAGGCAGATGTGTTTTTGTGTTTGAACTGAGGGACAGAGAGCAATGCCAGTTGGACACTTCCCCAGATACTTTACTGTCTGACATCTGGCATCACTTCCCTTGTGCAACTCCTTCTTCTTGTTCTCCATCAGGCCATGGAGATAATTGTTCCCCACGCAGGTTTGAAATACTGAGTACCGAGACAGTTTACCAAACCCTGTCTTCACATTCCCTTTCCTTCCTGAGCTTTTAATATTCCTGAAGAGCAAGCATCAAAAATCAGGTGGACCAATTCCTAGAAATTGCCAGCTCCTCTTTATTAATGTGTTTATTGTTGTTGTTGTTTGGTTGATTAAACCCAGGGTTGCTTTACCGCTGAGCTACATCCCCAGCCCTTTTTTGTGTGTGTGTTTGTTTTTTTATTTTGAGACAGGATCTCACTAAGTTGCTTAGGGCTTCCCTAAGTTGCTGAAACTGTCCTTGAACTTGTGATCTTCCTGCCTCAGCCACTGGAATTAAAGGCATGCGCCACCATGCCTGGCAACAAGCTGGTTTTTGACCGAGAAATGACTACCAAGAGCTATACACCAAAAACAAGTGTGTTTCCAATCCGAGAGCTTCAAATTAGCTTTATGGAATTCAGTAGCAAATGAACTTATTTAAGGTAAAAATCTAGACTCAGATCCTTTCCTTGTATTTTGATTTTCATTACATTTTTTTGCATGTTTTGTTCTGTTTTCATACAAGAATATCTGGAAAGACAGCTCTTGTGTTTAAGGACTATGACACCATAAAATGGACACAATGGGCTTATCCTTGGTCTGAAATGGATTTACTAAGGTTTCTCCCATCAAAATTCAGGTCAATACCACTGAAAGCAGTTCAGTGCTTTCTAGGGATTCTCGATATCTTGGCTTGGAAGTCCCATCCTGACAGGTACCATAGACAGTGCAAAACAAATGGCGGAACATTTTTGGGATGATTTGAAAATAATGATTAAAAAGCATCTTAGAAATGCTGGGGGGAAAAGGCAGACCTGAGCTTTATTTCTTCCCTAATCTTATTTACCTCTCCCTGACAAGACGAGATTTCTGATAGTGACTTTTTTTTTTCTCATGGATTCTTCACACATTAAAAGGAGTATGCCTGATTACGCGCTTATGAGTGTTTCCACTCTGTTTCTTCTTTTTGTAATTTTCATTCCTCCACATAATTTAGGAAAAGCTTCCTAGGATGAAGGGGGGTCCAAATTGTAATACAGCCATTAAAAATTCAAGTTTCACAATTAGATCAACACAACTTCAAATCTGACACTCACTCTGCCACATATTGTGTTACTTAGAAACTTTTTCTCTGTTTAAGACTTAATTCTTGGGCTGGGGCTGTAGGTCAGTGTCAGAGCACTTGCCTAGCATTTGTGAGGCACTGGGTTTAATCCTCAGCACCACATAAAAATAAATAAAATAAAGGCATGCTGTCCATCTTATAATTAAATAAAAAAATTTTAAAAATACTTAATTCCCCATTTTGAAGTGGAAATAACAATACCTACAACCACAGGCTTATTGTGAGGATTTAAGTGACTTGAAACACACATTTAAGCACTCAAGAAAGGTCAACTTTACACTGTCCTTTGGGAAATGATAAGACACTTGCACAAGGAGAGCCTCTTTCACTCCCTCAGGTGGGAAGCAGTGGAAATGACTCATGCCAACCCCGGGAGTGGAGCTGGTTTGGAAAGGCCAACTGTGTAGGAAGTTCTCCAGGTTGCACCATGACTTTCTCTGCTGCTCTGGCCTGGTTCAAGACCTACCCTAGGATTGTGACAACAATGAGTCAGTTATGGGCCTTTTAGAAAGGACTTGGGGATAATCACAAGCCTGACTCACTTGACAACCATACCTAAGTCTCCTCATCCTAGGACTTGACTCTACAAATGTGACAGGACCTGTGCAGCCCCGAGGATAACTGGCCATCTGTTAATGGCTCATCAATTGAGGAGTTCAAATCTCAGTATTTAGCCAATCTGACCCATCAAATCATGAAAGTGCATTCTTCAACTATTTCAATTCCAATTAAGAGGAGATTCAATACTCTTAATTAAAAGAATTCTCATTATAACAGGAGTATTATAGAGATGCTGCCAGCTAGGAGTAGCATCTCTCTGTCAGTATGGCATTTCATAATACCCTCTGAACATGACATTCTGACCGCCATGAGTCCAAAACCTGTACCTGGAGATGAGGGCCAGAAAAGGAGTTTAGAAAATATTCTTTTAATAATAAGGAGAACTATGGCACCACAGTCTCTGATGTTAATTTGGAATCTTATATTTTATTTGATATAAATTTTATACTTTCCACTAAGTTGGAAGACTCATTCAAAAGTATTTGTTTTCTTATGCACATCAGTCAAATGTGATATAATTGCTCCTCTAAATGCTAGAAAATAAGAAGAAAATGAAGTTTTCTCAAGGTATTTCTTAGGAAAATGGAGTAAGGTTGGTTCTCTTTCACAACACTGGATAGTGTCATAAGCATTAAAAAGGACAGCTAGGAGTACCCATATCCATAATTTCCATGTATGTCCTGCTGAAATTCACCCTGGTAGAGCCAATTTTAAATAAATAGAATGTTATAGATATAAATGAAATTGCTATTGTGGAATTATACACAATGGTAATCACAATCTTGAGGTAGGTTGATAAGTTTCTATCACTTTCTGTGCACTTTTTTATATATCAATGATAATAATAATACTAACAATTAACATATATAGTGCTTATGATGTGCCCAGCGCTATTCTAAGCATTCCCTAATATTTACTTGTGACCTGTTCCTTCTACAAGGTAGGTATTATTGTCACTTCTCTTTTGGTGCTGAGGCAACTGAAGCACAGAGAAGTTTAGTAATTTGCCCAAGATCATATGATAAGTAGAAGAGCCAGAATCATCAAAATATATAGAGAGATGTTTTATGTATTTTCAAAGTAACATTAACAGTATCATGCTGAATGCATCCTTCATAATTTGCTGCATAACTTATGTTTTTGAGATTTATTCACACTAAAATGTTTGAATTATTATACAATATCACATCATATGAATCATATGATTCTTCTACTATTATATTTATTCAGTTTTTCTTCATGGTCCTATGGATTATTTATAATTTTTCACTATCATAAAATATTGTCAAGGAAGATTTATATGTGTGTGTATATATGTACACATAAATGTGTGTGTGTGCATGCCTTGGTTTGAATGTGTCCCTCTAAAAGTATCCATTAGAAACTTACTCCTCAGTGTGACAGTGTAGGGAGGTGGAGCCTTATGGGAGGTGTCCAGATCATGAGTGCTCCACCTGCATGATTGGATTAGTGCCCTTGGTGCAGATTACCAAAGGGCTGGAGGCTGTGAGTTGATTGCTTGCTCTCATGTATGCTCCCCTGTCTTCCACCTTCTGCCATTCCCAGATGATGGCTCTCCATCTTGGACTTCCCAGCTTCCAGAATCATAAGTCAAATAATTTCCATTTATTAGAAGTTACCCAGTCTCGGGTATTCTACTACAGCAGCATAAAATGGATCAAGACAATACGCTTTTGCATATGTGCAAGAGTTTCTCTAAGTTGATATATCACTAAAATCAAAATTGCTTAGTCAAGGAATATATTGCTAAATTGGTCCTTTCAATTTATACTTCTTGGTACCAGAAATATATAAAAATTATTATTTACTTCTCAGTTTCACCAACACTTGATATATCCGGCTTTT